TTTGTGAGATGGGAAGCAGTCACTATTCCTTGTTGTGCTCTATTTTCTCATCCACAAAATGTGGATAACCACAGTTCCTTGAATGAATAGCTATCATGAGGATTAAATGGATCAATACTTAGAGCAATGCCTGACACACAGTAAGAGCTTAAATAGTTCCTGAATGAATTAATTACATGATAGATATGTTTAATCTTAACCTTAAATTATATTTTACATTATGTTTTGTTTTTATTGCTTCTTTCTTTTAAAAATAATCTTTTATGATGTGAGCTATATTTGCTTTCTGTGCATCTGTATGTATGTTTCTTTTGGTAATTTTAAAGTGTTTTTCATGTTTGTTAATTTATAACTTTATAGATTACATTTAATCTTCTATTTTCTTTATATATTATCTACTGACTCCAAACTGAATAAGACAAGTTAAGTATATGTCTACTTCTTTCTTCCCACCATTTATCCTTCTACCTGATTTTATTTTAATATTTTTCTGAGTTCTTACCCTCATAGGTTTAATTATACTTATCTATTACTGATTTATCAGCTTTATCAGCTTTATCAGCTTTAAACTGAATCTTTTTTAAAAAAAATTTATTTGCTTATTTGAGAGAGAGACAAAGAGAACACAAGTGAGGGGGAGATGCAGAGGGAGGAGAAATAGGGTCCCTGCTCAGCAGGGGCCTAACACAGGGCTCAATCCCAGGATCCTCGGATCATGATTTGAGCTGAAGGCAAAAACTTAACTGACTGAGCCACCCAGGGTCCCTAAATTACATCTTTTGACTACTGGCTATAAAAGATGAGGACTTTAGTGTTTTCAGTCATACACAGCATTCTGTCCCCATTTCCCTTGAAATTTTTAAGTATCATTGTCAGTTTTTAAAATTTATTATTTTCCCAAATATTCTGAAGTCTTATTTCTACAATTTAATGGATTCAATGTGCTCTTCCAGTTGATCCCTGTGACAGTTTGTTCAATAGTCACAAAAGACTCTTAGGAGCTATATTCCTGCATTCTTACATGTTTAAAAATATCTGTCTATCATGGCTAAAATTAACAACTCAGGAACAACAGATGTGGAGAAAGGAGAACCCTCTAACACTGCTAGTGGAAATGTAAACTAGTGCAGCCACTCTGGAAGATAGCATGGAGATCCCTCAAAAAGTTAAAAATAGAGCTACCCTATGACCCAGTAGTTGTACTATTAGGTATTTATCCAAAGGATAGAAACATAATGATTAGAATGAGTATATGCACCCCAATGTTTATAGCAGCAATGTCCATAATAGCCAAAATATGGAAAGAGCCCAGATGTCCATTGACAGATGAATGGAAAAAGAAGATGTGGTATGTATATATATTCCATTGTATATATATAAATCAAACAGAATGAAATCTTGTCATTTGCAATGATGTGGATGGAACCAGAGGGTATTATGCTAAGTGAAATAAGTCAGAGAACGACAAATATCATGTGTTTTCACTCATATGTGGAATTTAAGAAACAAAACAGAGGATCATAGAGGAAGGGAAGGAAAAATAAGATGAAATCTGAGATGGAGACAAACCATAAGAGACTTTTAATCATAGGAAACAAACTGAGGGGAATGGGGTGGGGGGATGGGGTAACTGGGTGATGGACATTAAGAAGGGCATGTGATATAATGAGCAGTGAGTATTAGACTGATGAGTCACTGACCTCTACCTTTGAAACTAATAATACATTATATGTTAATTAATTGAATTTAAATTTTTAAAATGTGCATCTATTTAAAAAAAAAAAGAAAAGGAACATGGGGGGAAAATGTCCTTTTTTTTTTTTTTGTGCTACTGCCAAGGCTTTTGTTGTTAAAATAGTTGTATTTTTCTCCTCTGCTTCTTTGCTGAGTTTTACCACATTCATTCTTCTGCTGACTTGCTATGAAGTCCCTGAGCTCTTGTATCTTTGCTGAAACACTAGTTTTTTTAGCAGTGATTACAATATTAAATAAATACATATATATATATTTAATGTATGGGTTGTTTGGTAACAATTTCCGTATGTTCATCTGAGGCAACATTTTTTTTTTAAGATTTATTTATTTATTTATTTGACAGACAGAGATCACAGGTAGGCAGAGAGGCAGGCAGAGAGAGAGGAGGAAGCAGGGTCCCCGCTGAGCAGAGAGCCCGATGTGGGGCTCGATCCCAGGACCCTAGGATCATGACTTGAGCCGAAGGCAGAGGCTTTAACCCACTGAGCCACCCAAGCGCCCCGCAACATTTTTTTTTTATTGTCAGTATTCTCCATCTATCATTTTTAATTTTTTTCAGGTCATAAGAATGTACATATTCTATGCAGTTTCCTTTTTGGTTGTTATTCATTCCTGAATGAGGTGATTTCTTCTGGGATTCTCTAGTTCATAGCAAATTCATGTGGGAAAAAAAATGAGGAACATATTTTGAGCTAGCAGGAATTTACTCTTTGACACATTGTGTGTGTGAATTATTTTAGCTTTAACTTTTCAATCAAAAGAGAGCAGTAGTCAAGGCCTGTTCAAAATAATATCCTTTTTCTTTATTTTGCCTCACTCACAGACTACTTTAAACAAATGTTATTTCCTTGGGCATTCCTTATTTGGCCTTGACTACTTTTATTTCTTTAGTCAAACCAGCTGCAAAGAGGTTTTGCATCAGCTTGCATAGCCATTCTCATTGTTCCAAAGAATTATTGGTTTTGGCAACAATAGTGCCCCATGTTCTGCCAGCCTTGTTTCAGGTCTGCAGCTGTAGGGTCTCTCTAGGCAACTACCTATACCCTAGTTTACCTTCATTGTATTTGGCAGTGCTTTCTCACGCAGTTTGGGGTTTCAGGTGTCCTCTAGGTTTGCCCCAGTTAGGATTTTTTTCCGTCCTAGTTGCCATTTTCAAGAAAAGAAGGGAGAAAATACTAACTTTCGTCTGTAACTAGAACTGGAAATCCTACCCAATAAATAATTCTAACTCTAAAACTATCTAACAACTCAATTTTTCTATGTTAATTCTGAAAATACAATATAAGATTATCTGGCTTTAAGGCATAATTTCCTAACATCATTCATCAACATACTTAAATGTAGATGGTAGAGTTTATAATACAATAACTTTCTCACACACATGCAAAGATCCATTTATACATTTAACTCAAAACATAAATGTGAATTCATCTGCCAATCTTTGAATGAAAGGAAAGGGCTTTTACTTTGGGTATGAGTCAACTGTTTGTAGGTTCCTCTAATGAACCACATCCTTAATGCATTATCTATAATTTCCAGTTCCCATCTGTTTATTTTTTTTTTTAAGATTTTATTTATTTATTTGACAGAAAGAGAGACACAACAAGAGAAGGAACATAAGAGGAGTGGGAGAGGGAGAAGTAGGCCTCCCACTGGGCAGGGAGCCCCACGGGGGGCTCAATCCCAGGTCCCTGTGATCTTGACCTGAGCCGAAGGCAGATGCTTAATGACTGAGCATCCCTCTAGTTTCCATCTGTTTAGAGTGAAATGATTTAAATACACTTATGAAACAATGTAAGTCCAGAATACTTTTAGGTCTTTATGATTCTCCCCATAAATATCTTTCATAGTACTTTTGCCACACCTGTCTCAACAGGAATTGTTTTTGGCAACTCACCTCCGTCATGTCTGTTCAAATTGTTTAACCTAATTTTCACATAATTAATAACTATTTTTTAAATTTATATTTTATTGGTTATTTAATGTCTAATTAAATTGTATGCAGTAACAACTGACAAATACATATTTGGCAACAAACATACATAACTCCTGAAAGCAGAAATGCTCGGACTATAAGACAACAGCCATGACTATTCATTCATCTGTCAATGTGCTGTCACAGGCAACTGGAAAGCACGTTTTACATATGAGATTGAGAACCCTGGTTCCTCCTACAAGGCTGAAAGCATCATCACTATATTCTGAGTCTGACACATCCCACATATTGTTTTTGGTATGCCTTATATAAATCTCTGGTATTGGCATGTTAACTTACCATTTATTCCTTCTTCGTGAAGGTAGAGAACAGAATATGTTCAAAAAAAGTATCTGAGTTTCATGTGCATTAGATTTACATTATTTTGAGTTTTCTTAATTTTAGAAAATTTAGAAATTGTTGGAAGATGGAGACTGATTATAACTGGCTTTTACCCATAGACATGTGTCTTATAGTCAAGGTCACACTAGTTTGTTGGAAAAATCTGGACCAGCTTTTAAGAGGCACACAATTAAAAGAATGTAGAAAGGATAGGGAGAGTTTCTAAGGTCATTAGCTGTCTAGATCTTGGGAGAAAACAAAAGCAAAAAAACCACAAGTCCCCCTATGGACCACGGAGTTTTTATTTGAGTTTAAGGACTAGTCCAATATTATTTGTTGTTTTACCCTTAACTTTCTTCTTTTACTGTGGTCTGATCAAACAGATTTAGATTCTCTAGACATTTGTTGAGTACTTACTACATACTAAGTTCTGAAATGGTTGTTTTCACGAGTATCATCTCATTTAACTCTTACACTAATTTGGGAGACATAATTTAATATGAGGAGATAGATCAGCAGAGCTAGATCTTTAAACAAAGATACTCAGATATAAAAAGTCAGGCCTCAACTGCCTTCAGGTCTGTGCAGGGCTTTTCAGTGGAGTAGGAATATGGGATCATAGCCCTTGGTCCCACAAAGTACATTCCATAAACTGATGCTTGTTTTACTATTACAAAATTATTGTATAATGAATTTGCAATTGTTTTTTAAATGTTATATAACTTGGGATGGGAGAATTTTAAAATGTATTAGGAAAGAAGGTGCCTATTTCAACAAACTTAAATCTTGTTGCTAAGAAACAGTAATAAGAGCAATTTTTAAAAAGTCATTCATAATAAGTGATGGTAACAATAAGGACAGTATAACTGTATTTCCATAGGTGCCCTCTTTTCAACAACTTAAAACAAGTTCTGGAAACATTACTTACTTTCACAAGATCCCAATAACAAGAGGTGGTTGTGACTGCCCGTAAACATGGGATAGAGCAAGCTCCGAAAGTCCCAAGAGCCCAAAAGCCTGTGGACAAAGCAGGAATAGAATCTCAGTGCCTGGTGTTCCATTCATTAATATTTCATCTCTTCAGCCACCATCAAAATGATCACTGCTATTTGTCAGAGACAAAAAGATCTGGGAGACAAATTTCAGCTGTAACCTTAACAGTGTTCTAAACATAATATTGCACCTTTCCTGATCTTCTATAATTTGAGCCAGACCTCTCTTCAATCACTTAAAGACTGGAACAAAACGAAATTGTTCATGCCCTAGTTTTGGTGTTGCCTTCAATAACACAAGTCCTAAAAGAGGTAGATTTGTTTTTTGCTTGTCATAAATGTGTTTCCCTGGTTTATTGCAATAAGCAGACTATAGGTAGGAACTCTTTCTACAGTAAAATTAATAACTGCGTTCTCCATCCAGGCTCCAAATGAATTTTGAAGAGATGTCTCTATTTTGTGTGCCTTTCTACCGAGTTAACAAAGGTATCTAAGATCATGGATAGTCTCTAGGGAATTCTGGGTTTAAATCTGGTTTAAGTTATCTTAACACAGATGTATAAACATTATTATTTTTTTTTCTTGGTGAAATTCTCAACAGACCCAGAAAAAGTGAACTGTCAATGGGCTCCGCCACCACTAGTCACAACCACTTTTATTTCACTCTTTGTACTTACTAGACTTCTCTAGCTGATCATTACAAGCTTTATGTGTTATCTTTCCTGTTAATCTGCAAATGTCCTGAGAGAGCTTCTATTTCTGCTCTATCCCTAGCTCACACATCATAGAATGGGGGATGGTAGGGATAGCAAAGCAGCACCAGTGTCCTCCTGCACCCCACGTCTTCCTCATATGCTAGTAGCATGACTCCCCACAAACATCTTATGATATAACCATCACTATCTCCATTTTCCAAAAAAGGAACTTGAGTTTTAGAGAAGGTGAAAGACTTCCCTAATGTTACACAGCTAGTAAAAAGTCAGGATGAGATCCAAACTGAAGAAAGGCAATAAATGCTATTTTAAAGGTCAAAGGAGAAAGAAAAATGAGCTTTTCCAGCTTCCTCAAACCTGTGACAAAGAAAACCAATTACCATAATACTCTCCTGCATTTATTCAGAGTGTAGGTCAAAATATTAGGAGAATTTGTAAGTCATTTTCTCTTGATTATCACTGCAATACATGCTCTTCATAGGAAATAAGGCAAGCAAACAGAGAGAAAGTTCAATACCTTAAAAAAAAATCACCCCCAACTCAGCACTCAGAGACAATTACATTTAACGTTCCAGCATGTTCCTTTCTAGTTCTGTTTTCCCTTCTAGTTCTTTTTGTATACATTTTCTCTACATAATTGAGATTAGTCCAAATATTCACTATTAAACCTCTTTCACATAAAATCATAATGAAAACATTTCTCATGTTATTAAAACCTTTTATTTAACATTATAATGGGCAGCACTGCCCTTATACCAGGTTGCCCAGGACCCACGGTTTTCCAGCAGCCCTGCTCAGGCCCTCATTTCGCTATACCCCTTGCCATGAGAATGGGGGTCCATAGGGAAAGAAGAATGTATCCACACAGAGTCTGTGTCATCCTTCTAGAACATTCTCTAGATACTCAGAATCCTGGAATTCCATGACCAAATGGCCCCGCTGAGACCTTCCTTCTCCAGTCTTATTCCCTGAGGGCCAAGAGCACAGCACTGTACACGCCAGACCCAGGAATGGCCAAGTGATGCAAGGGTGTTGATGGATTTTGGGTGTGAGAGAATTGAGTGCCCTCAAAAGCATGTGTAAGACTCCTCTTGATGAGGCTGAAACAGAGCTAGAAGGAGTAAGAGGCTGGCTCTTCCCATGCCATCATATTCCAGGATGGGATTCCAAAGAATCTGAGACTTCGAAATTAAAATATGGCCTTCTAGGCCATTGTCAAAGCCAGAGGATGACACATACTCTATGAGTTTCTTACTTGATTTAAAACTTTAAAATATTTAGACATGTTATGTAAGTAAGCCTCTATTTGTCCTCTTGCCCTGGGCAGCCAAAATATGGAAAGAAGCTAGTAATGTGCATATTTTTGCATGCAATATCATAATATTCTTCTAATATTGAACACTTAAATGGTTCCTATAAATTTTTAAATGATATATGTTAAACATCTATACATAAATATTTACCATACTTGCTAATTACTTCTTACGATATACTCTGGGAAGAAAAACCAGTGAGCCAAAGAATATAGACTCTTCACAACCAAAGTCTTAAACTAATGGCTGATTAATGGGAGATCTCACTGAAAGCAACCCCTAGCTCTCTACCTCTACCTACATGCCAAATCCATTGGCTTATATTAATGATTACAGAGGCCATGTCTCCTTTTAATGACTTTTATATATGGTCATTTTGTTTCAAGACAGGAAGCTGACTCACAAAATATCTTTTTTTTAAATTGAGGTATAAATGATATATAATATTATATTAGTTTCAGGTATTTTACATAATGATTCAATATTTGCATATATTGCAAAATGATCACCACATTAACTCCAGTTAACACCCACTAAGTAATTTTTGATATGCTTTTAAAAATCCATTAACTTTCAATCCCTAAAATCAGGAACAGGCAAACCATGGCCCTTAGGCCAATCCCAACCTACTGCATATTTTTGCAAATAAAGTTTCACTAGAACACAGCCATGCTCATTCATTTCCATATTGTGTACATCTGCTTTCAGACAACAGTGGGAGTGTGGAGTCTTTGCAACAGAGACCACCTATGGCTGGCCCACAACTCCTGAAATCTTTACTATCTGGCCCTTTGGAGAATAAGTTTGCCAGTTTTGATCTGCAATTATCACAGAATACAAACCATGAAACAGGAAATTAGCTACTGAATAATCATAAAATTACAGTAGGTTCTCCCCCATTTCACAAATCAGATGCCCTGGTCTCGGCGGGTTTGCTATGGTATTGCTGCGGACATTCGATCAAGCAGCTCATGCCTTCTCTGCTTCTCAGGCACCTACTCCGTGCCCAACAGACCTTGGATCAGGTGCTGAGAGCTCACAGAATGAAAATTAATAATTTTTGTCTTCGAGGAGTTGATACATGTGCCTACTATATGTCAAGGAGTCCTTTTGCCAGGTTCTTGGGAGAATAATGCTTTGTTTTGGACCTCAAAGAGATTCTTGGTTTTCCAAATGTGTGTTCAGGTTTTCACAAAAGGAACAGGATCGTTCCAATCTTCCTTTACTAAAGCAGCTTAGAGACTGAACCGCAATAATTAGGCTCCCTTGGTGAAAAATCACTGAGGGCAGACGTAGGAAGAGCAGGCAAAACAAATGATTCCTATGTATCAAGTAATCCCTCAAGAAATTTCCTTGATGTTTCTGCTTAAGCCAGTCAGGAAAATGAACTGCCCACTTTTTGACACCAGGATGAGCAAGAGATTGATAAATGGCCCTTTGCTCACCTAAAAATTAAAATTCCTATTTATGAGGAGTGTCTAGGTGGCTCAGTCAGTTGAGCATCTACCCTCGGCTCAGGTCATGATCTCAGGACCCTGGGATTGAGCCCAGCATCAGGAGCTTCTTCCTCTCCCTCTGCCACTCCCCCTGCTCGTGTGCTCGCTCTCTTTCTCTCTCTCTCTCTCTGTCAAATAAATAAATAAATAAATAAATATTTTTTTTTAAATCCTGTATATGAGAAAAGCCTACATGTGAGTAGCAAAACAAGTCATTACTATTGCTTTACTCTTCATAAAGATAGAACAATAACAGAGTAATTGGCTTTGGGAGAGGACATAAACCTGAGCCAACTATTTCAGAGGACTCTAAGGAATGTGGTTTGAATCCAAGTTTGAGGGATTTTTTTGGCATTTTAGTGGAAAGATAAAAGGGAGGAGAGTTTATTTACAAGCCAGATACCTTCTCACTTCTTCTTGGCACAATTAACCTCTTATGAAATTACATTAGAAAACTACAAACCAAAAGCAAAGGTCTTGATTACTCTGTGGTCTTGGATCATTACTGGTACGGCTATCCTCTATCATTGGGGTAAAAGAGACGATTCTTTGTGGATTTGTGCTCCTCCTCTGCCTCTTATGAGCTGGGCAAACTTGTGTAAATTTCTCCACTGCTCAGAGCCTCATCCTCTGCAAAATGTTGATAATACCACTCACTTTTCTGGGCTCCTTCACAGATAAAGGAGGTAACACAAGTCAGCTCATAATGGGCATAACAGTTATGGGCATTTAGTCAGAGCTAATTATCTCCAATGGCTCATTTACAGAAATGTGTCCATGTGTGAAGAGGAGTAACAATTTGCAAGAGGAGAGGCCAGTCCTGCCTGTTCATGCCAACTCAAAGCCATTAGAATGACTTGTTCTGACCTACTCAAAATAAACAAAGCTTTATGCAACTATCAACTATTTGTATTGCCTGATCCTGTTATGAGAACAGTCCTCAGAATATCTCCGAAGTATGTGCCAAGGACTTCGCTTTGTTTATTTTGCTTTTGTGAGAGAAATCAAAGATAACTCATGCTTGCATTGTTAATTGGCTTTTTTAAAAAAGATGTTATTTATTTATTTTACAGAGAGAGAGATCACAAGTAGACAGAGAGGCAGGCAGGAGGGGCGGGGAAGCAGGCTCCCCATATAGCAGAGAGCCTGATGTGGGGCTTGATCCCAGGACCCTGAGATCATGACCTGAGCCAAAGGCAGAGGCTTAACCCTGAGCCACCCAGGTACCCTGTTAACTGGTTTTTTAAAGCGTCTTGATTATGCCATTATTTTCAAGGGTTTCAAATGTTTCTTCCATATTGCCCTTGCCTAACCAAGGAAATCAATTATTGTCCTTCTGTCCCTCACCCAAGCATCCAGAGCATTTTATCTCCACTTTTTCACCTTCCACACCTTGTAAACATTACTTATATATTCACTAATTTATGGATGTTGCTTTCTCAGAATTTGACTATACAGGCTCACCCTCTACTTACCCAACCCAGGAGCCTTATGTTCATATTC